AGGTTGAGAAAACAAATGTAAAAATGAGGGAGCAGTGGAGGTCTGCCATGGAGACGATATTCCACCAGTTAGTTATGCAGTTCAGAATTTATTTAAAGGAACACTGTAGGCACTTTAACAACTTTATTGTATTGAAGTTGTGATAGTTCCTGCAGTCCTGCTCTCCTCTCCTACCCCCCAAAAACCCTTTGTGTATGAGAGCCAGGAATCTTGCTTGTGATATGATGAACGCATGCGCAGTGCTGTCACGGTCGGCCATAGAGAATCATTAAAGGGACACTCTAGTCACCAGAACAACTACAGCTTATTGAATTTGTTCTGGTGAGTAGAATCATTACCTTCAGGCTTTTTGCTGTAAACACTGTCTTTTCAGAGATAATGCAGTGTTTACATTACAGCCTAGTGATAACTTCACTGGCCACTCCTTAGATGGCTGTTAGAGATCCTTCCTGGGTCATGGCTGCCTAAAATGCATCCAAACATTCAGTGTCTCCTCCCTCTGCATGCAGACTCTGAACTTTCCTCATAGAGATTTTTTGATTCAATTCATCTCTATGAGGAGATGCTGATTGGCCAGGGCTGTGTTTGAATTGTGCTGGCTCTGCCCCTGATCTGCCTCCTTGTCAGTCTCCGCCAATCCTATGGGGAAGCATTGTGATTGGATCAGGCCACCTGATGTCAGCAGGCAGTGGGCAGGTCTAAAGGAAACAGGGACAAAGCAAGCAGCCCCAGGCTTGAATACAAATAAGATTTTACTATTTGTAGGGAGGCATGAGAGGGACGGGGGGGCTAGATCGTGGTTTGACCAGTCATTTCTAGACTTGCTGTTGCTGAACGAGGTTGTTCTTGTCCGGCTGACTAACTATGTAGAGACTAACTCTCCCTTCAGGAGTCCAGCAATTACCATCTGCTGTTGAATATCCATGATCATGTAACATCCTTTGTTGTTTTATTATGTATCCGTACCTTTAAGAATAAACCTGATTAAACCGTAAGTCAGATTGTGTATTAGTATTTTTGGGTAATACAGATTTATATTAACATGGCGAGCTTTTTACCCAAGAAGAAATATACATAAAATAATTATTTCAATCAACTGGAGAAAGACACAGAACGAACAGAATTTATTGCAATTAGACATACTTTAAAATGAGAGCCAATCTCAATGTATCCATCATGGTATAATATTTTATAAATAAATTTGGCTTCCAGATTACATCCCCACAGAATCCCCAGATAACTTAGATCTGAGCGCACAATATAACCGAATATCGCTCAGATCCCATAGATACAGTTCAATCGCCATGGAGCTAAAGTCTTGTACAGAGTGCTTTCGACGAAACGAATGAGGGATGGCTATCTGGGGCAGTTCTGTTCGTGTATAGTCAATGTACCGATAGGCATGGTGTTCGTATGAACCTGGAACAGAACGAGGAATGGTCGGCGACTTCAGCGGTGTTCGTGGGAAATAGTGTCCAATATTAGTTCCATGAGTTTGTCGACGAACACCGCTGGGCGTTCAACTGTCCAAGATGGCCACAGCCACGTGTTTGTTCATACGAACGACGACCACCCAGCCGACCATTCGGGAGTTGGAAGTGTCTGCGGTTAACCACTTCCCTGCTGGGTGGCCTGCCATTCGGTAGTTTATTCATATTTAGGTGAATAAAAGCAGGACCATATGGACAACTGGCAAATACTGAACAAACAGACGAATCAAGGTTAAATAGTAATAATCCAAAGACAGAGGGGTCCAGAACAGCTTCCTAGTTCCGGACATCCCCAAGTTGACCCGAAAAGGATCAAGCCAGGTCTGCCGGAGTGTCCCACCTTGTGTGTGGGACACTCCGGCAGACCTGGCTTGATTCTTTTCGGGTAGTACCAGCTGCCTTTTCTGTGAAGGGGTTTTACCTTTCAGGGATTTCTTGGGGATCCTATACAACCTATCCCCACCCAGTCATAGAGTTCCCCATCTGCTCCCCTCTCCTGAGTGTCTGCCTTGGCCCTATATTTCTGCAGGGTCGGATCCTCCCGGTTTCCCTCCTAAATGCCTCTGGGATATCCCTGTCTAGAGGGGCCGGTTCTAGGGTAGTTGGTCTTACCTGGGTCTCTGCAGCAGGTGGGCCGGTTCCAGCAGCACAGGTCTGGGCCCAGGTGGTCACAGGGTTGGCCTCCGCGGGGCCCAGTGGGGCATAAGCAGAAACAAGGGGGGGCAAATCAGTTTTTTTTCTAGCGGGCGTCGGTGTATTTGTCCGCCAACCGAGCTGCTTCAGGCAGAGTGAGAGGTCTCCTGTCTCAGATCCATTCTCTAATCCCCAGGTTCAGCTTCTCGTAGAAGTGCTCCAGCAGGAACAACTGCAGCACCTCTTCCCTGGATACCGCCTGGCATCCATTGACCCAGTGGGATGCCGTGCGGTTTAAGCGGCATGCCCACTCTGTGTATGAGTGCTCACTCTGCTTAGCATTGTCCCAAAAATCGCCTCCGGTATGCCTCAGGTGTTATGGCATACCTGGCCTTTACCAGAACATAATCCACGATATCCCCATCAGGGATGGCCCTGAAAGTTTCACTGGCACGGTCGGACAGTTTCCCAGACAAAAGTGTGACCAATTTCTCTGTGGGTACTCTGTGCATGGCACATTGCCATTCAAAATCGTCAAGGTACCCGTCGATTTCTCCGTCAGCTTCCACAACGTTTTTAAATGCTGCAAAGTGTACTTTTCTTTTTTCCACTGGCACTGCTATTACTTCCGCTGCTGCAGCACCTCTTTGCTGAGTCTGGAGCCAGTTAGCATCCACGGCCACCATGACTTGCAGTACAACCTCCCATGGGGGATTCGGTCCTGTAACGAGAATATACCCCAACACGCAGGATTCAGCTAAACAGAAGACAACACAGAGGAGAGATACGTCTACCGGACCTTAGAATGGCCGGACTCGACGTATAGGAGAGGAGACAGAGTCAGGAACGATCCGAAGTCAAGGGCACAGAGAGACAGCGTAAACTAGGACTAGCCGGGGTCTGGTACACAGTAAACAGCAAGCCGGCAAACAGAACAGATAAGGATAAAGAGAAAACGTAGTCAGAAACAAAGCCAAAGTCAATACGAAGAAAACACAACTGAACACAACAAGCGCTAAAGGGAACTGAAACAGAAACCACGATAGGGCAGGGAGTAAAGGGAGAGGTAAGTTTAAATAGCTTCTAAACTAATGTGATTGGCTCCTGTCATATCCACACCCCCAAAAGGTAAGTGTATGGGGAGTGTGGCATGACAGGGGCCAATGGGAGCCTTTTGACAATTTAGGCTCCCACTGTCTCTTTAAGAGCGCGCCCGAGACTCGCGGCGCGCTCTTAGATTCAGGCGGGACACGTGCCCGCCTTCCTATTGAAGCAGTCGGATGAGCCGCGCGCGGCTCGAAGAGAGGACTGCAGCCGGCCCCTGGATAAGGTAAGTAACGCTACAGGTCCATAGTTAATACAAATACAAATAAACTAGTCCTGCGCTCCAACTCCCATTACTCCTGGGCGGCAGCAATGACCATAGTACACATCAGCCAAAATACATATAGTAAAAACCATAGAAAAAAAAAAAAAAGTTACCTGCGCTCTTTCCACATCCCTATGTATTTTTAAACAAATGGAGGTTTTTAGTTACCTCCAATGGCCATGAGAGGGTGGGTCCTAACTAACCATTCACCTTACTTCCTTGAGCTTCTGGCAAAAATATCTAATGAGACAGAAAGGGGTATTTTTTTTTTTTTACATACATCCCTACATGCTTATTAACCCTTAATAGGGAACACATGGGATGGGCAGCAGCATTGCAACTTAGCTGTGTGATACAAAAGTGAATACAAATACAAAGAAACTAGTCCTGCGCTCCAACTCCCATTATCCCTGGGCGGCAGCAATGACCATAGTACACATAAGTCGGCCCCGGTTCTCCAGCAAATCTTTAAGGGTAGAGTCGTTTTAGTGTGCCTCCATTCGCTTGTGTCGCCTTGTAGCTGTCCTTCTGGGGTGTGGGAATTATCCCGCTGCTTGCCACTAGTTGTAACGGCACCTCGGGTATAGAAGGGTTTAATGCCGCCAAAGATGTTCCCTTTCCCGAATGAGAAGTCAGCTACCGAACACTCCTAAGCTCCGAACGGGAAACACACGAATAATCCCCCCCCAAGTACGAGACGAGGCTCTGTTTTGAGGGTCAGGCAGGATCTGTTTAATGTGGGCTACATGCCCGTCTTTTAGGCAGATCTTCCAGCAAGGGACACTCCCATAGGGACCTTGTGGAAGACTGGGACAGTTTTGTACAGCAACCAATCAGAGACATATACAGTGATAAAGACTCCCACATGAACATTACAAACCCTCCTCTCTATCCTGGAGATAATTGGGTTAAGTGCTAGTAGTAACTCCATTCCAGGGATAGAGAATATCCTCCGTTTTGATATGAACAGTAAAAGACATAAAATTACATATTTCCAAAACTACCTAACAGAATCCCCACATTCAGATAGCTTAGATCTGAGCGCACAATATAACCAAATAGCGCTCAGATCCCATAGATACAGTTCGTATGAACCTGGAACAGAACGAGGAAGGGTCAGTGACTTCAGCAGTGTTTGTGGGAAAACATTAGTTCCATGAGTTTGTCGACGAACACCACTGGGCGTTCGACTGTCCAAGATGGCCGCCGCCACGTGTTCGTTCATACGAACGACGACCACCCAGCCGACCGTTTAGGAGTTGGAAGTGTCTGCGATTAACCACAATGTTAATGAGGGCCGAGAGGTTAACAAGCAGCACACTTGCTGCAGCACACAATGGCCTGCCATTCGGTAGTTTATTCGTATTTAGGCGAATAAAAGCAGGACCATACGGACAACTGGCAAATACAGAACAAACAGACGAATCAAGTTTAAATAGTAATAATCCAAAGACAGAGGGGTCTGTCACAGTGAAAGATTCTGCACGAATAATCCCTCGGGACACATGTTCCATCTTTAGCAAAATCACATTTATTGCTGTATTCAGAAGAATATAAACAGATATAAAATGCTTACAGGTAAACTCCTATTCAATGTAAAAAAACAAACAAATCCCAGGGCAAAACATACAATGTCACAGTTTGTAATAGATTAACGAAAAAATCTGCTGATTGCATTGCCATCGGCAACTGTAAAATGTGCAGAGGGCAGCGATGTCTGCGAGACAGTATTAACATATATATGGCACCCCCTTCAGCAAAAGTCTTTAGCACGGGCTTCGTATCTAACAGGCTCGCCATATGTAATGTCACCAGACAAGGCTGTCCTCTTTCCCCCCTAATATTTATCCTATGCTTGGAACCGCTAATAAGAATAGTAAAAAATGATCCCAATATACATGGGCTGCATACCCAGGGGGGCGAAAAGAAACTAGCTCTGTTTGCCGATGACATACTGCTGTTTGTTACAAAACCAGAGTCCTCCCTTCCCAATCTCATGAGAACGCTGGTAGACTATGGGAAGATATCGTACTATAAAAACAACATAACCAAAACGCAAGCTCTACCCATAAACCTACCAAAACCTACATTAGAAAGGATTAAACCGCAGCACCCCTTCGATTGGCGCACCAATTCCTTAAAATACTTAGGTGTAAACCTCACCAAATCCCTTCAAACGGTGATCAAAGAAAATCACTTCCCCGTGCTAAAGAAAATCAAATCCTCCCTCGAACAGTGGGCTAGCATGGATACCTCCTGGCTAGGACGTATTAATCTAATTAAAATGATGACACTTCCACACATACTATACTTATTCAGAACCCTGCCCATATTCCTCCCGACTGCGCTGCTCAAACAATTCCAAAGCACGATCAATGCACACATCTGGAAGAGGAAGCCCCCGAGAGTGAATAAAGGGTGTCTGGGTCTCCCTTACGTCCAAGGTGGACTGGGGATGCCGGATGTAACGGCATACTACAGGGCCTCTTTCTTGGCACAGGGTCTGCGACTCATTAGGATCCATAATCTCCCCCGTAAACCGCTCTGGCTGTCATTAGAAAATGAATGCCTAGAGGCACACGACACAGTCCATTACTTGTGGACATGCTCCACGCCCCGAACATCTGCGGGCATGACCCTGAGATGCTCGATCACTATGCTTACAGCATGGAAGACCTGGTGTCCGAAGGTACTGGACCCAGTACGGTTATTTAGGGAGGCACCCATCACGACACTAGCAGCCTACTCCCCAGGCATACAGGTGGGCAAATGGCTTAACAAGGGAGCGAGATTAGTGAGGGATTTAATGTCAGGAGATGCGGTGAAACCATTCCCTGAATTGAAAGAGGAACTGGGGTTAGACTTGAGAGATCTGTACCTTTATTTAAGGATCAAAAATATAATACTAACCCATGGTAACCACACAGTCGCTCGAACTGACTCTCCGGTACTCCAACCTAGCCACTTATCTCTGATAAAGGCAGCAAAACCGCTCTCCCTATGTTACAATGCGTTGGTCACAGAAAACACCCCAGATAAACTGAAATACATGGCAAAATGGGAGCAGGACCTGGGACTTCATATCTCCCAAGCAGACTGGCAGTCTGCAAGGGCAAATACAAAACAGGCATCGAGTAGCCTCTCGCTATGGGAGGCCTATTGCAAGATAACTATGAGGTGGTATCTGGTACCACAGAGACTAGCGAGTATGTACTCAGGCGCTACGAACTTGTGTTGGAGATGTGAGTCGGACACTGGAACCATGCTACATGTGTTCTGGAAATGCCCGTTGCTAGACGGATTCTGGAAACAAATCCAAATCCTGATCTCGAGTAAAACTGGCACCTCTATCCCATTGCGACCGGAAAAGTACTTATTACATGTCATACCAGACCTAGTCACGCATCCACACAAAAAAGTGATTCTGAATATACTGACGATAGCAAAAGTAGCTTTAGCTGGTAACTGGAAAAGCAAACAAGTTCCTCAGATAGAGGTGATTATCAACAAAATGAATGTGATTAGTATGTACGAGAAAATGGCCAGCAAACTGAAAGGATGCCTAGGAAAGTATGATAAAGAATGGGTATGTTGGGCGGCCACATAGTCCCTGACTGACAACTAAGACAAACCGACTGCTCAAACCAAATGGTTAACCATCATAGTGGGCCAATAAGGGAGCACACAGGCGCAAACGTTAAGGGACCAAAGGGGTCAGGGCGTTGAGGTGCTCAGGGTACATATAGCCTCATCAATCTCACAAGCTACATAAGGAAGGTGATCTGTACTGTACTGCTGGCTGCGATGTGAAGCTGTGTCCAGGGATCTCCCCCCCCCCCCCCCCCCTTTTTCCTTCTGTATCCCAACCCCTCCCAAGTTAACTATAAAAAACAAAAAATGTACCGCATGCTTTGAAACTGTATGTATGTAACACATCGAACATTGCCTGACACACAGATTATTTGTATGACTATTTGTATACTTAAGCGGTTAATTGATCAATTGAGCGAGAAATAAGGCTCTACATAGGGCGATATGTAGAATGTTATCCGCAAATATCGCTGTGTAGGCGACTTGAAATTAATTACCATGTTATGTGTTGCAATTGTCATTCAATAAAAATGATAAATGAGAAAAACATATATATGGCACCAACATATTCAGATACACTGTACCACAGGTAAAAGAAAGTTTGGAAGTATACGTTGCTGGACTAATAATAAAGGTTGCAGGGAGATGAAAGATGAAATCACAAATACACACACACAAAAAAAAAAAATAGCACCCAAAACAGCAAAACACTGCAGAAAATAGGAATTATTACATAATAAAATTTATTGATGCGACAAGTGCTTTGTCAAACTTAGACAATTTACCTGTAACAAAGATGGTAAAGAAATAAAAAGGGAAATATAAAATATCAGATTATTATTTTCATAAAAAAAAAAAAAGTAAAAAGTTTATGCAGTAGATAGTCCACTGAAAACAGAACTGCGATATGAAGGCCAAGACAGCAGATTTGAAAGAAAAACCAAAATATCTCCAAGAGACTCATAGCCACAGCCAGGGTTTTTGAATTCGTTTTTTTAATTCACTAAACAGTCTGCATTTAATGCTCAGACCAGGAGCACAGGAAACATGCCAATTGTCGTGCTTGTTGCGAGGCAGGTAAAATGTCGAGCCTCAATGGGTGGTGACTGCACACTCCGGCATGCTGTACAACCAGTAACGTGACTCTGTTACACACAGAGCTTGGCTGTTCTTGGCAAAGTTCAGCCAATCCCTTGATTCATGCTTCAGGGCTGATATTTTGTCTTCTTGGACAACGTTGCCAGCGAGTTCAGACACTGCGCTTGCTGACTGCGATTCTGTAATTCCTGAAGGCAGCTATTCTGAAGTTCAACAGCCTTCTGCGTTTTCCAGTTCAAAGCCACTGCCAAGGTGTTGGAATCCTCATTTGTGACAGCCTGGGAGGAGATGTAATCACAGTTAAAGGGACCATTACCACCAAGCTTGAATGGTTTCAGTGTACTTTATGGTGTTAAAGGTACTTTTACTGCCCCTTTTAAAATGCAAACTAGCTCTCAGGGGTACGAGTGACAATATAAAGAGCAATTCTGCACCAAGTGCAATCTGCAGCAATATTCCACTGGTTGTTATGGTGAGTTAATGTCTAATGTCTCTAAAATTAATAACAAAAACAAGAGCGCAGACTTGATTTAATTTTACTTTGATTGGATACAAATCTAAGTCTAAGGGTTTTATTCGCTGAATTATGGTTTAAAAACAACATTTCTAAATGTAAGCCGAAACAGTATAGACTTAACTGTAGCTGAGTTTTTCAAATCAGCAATTTTGTCCTAACTTTTCAAATGGTATAATTCCTAATTAAGTAAAAGTAGATTAATGGAAGAAATCTCTGTTGCCGTAATGGCCATCCTTCGCACCCTTTACATTTCCTACATTTCCACAAAGCTCAGTGTTATAAGTAAAAGTAGTTCAGAAACAGTTGGGTGTCATGGTTCGCCATTGATGGCTTATGGGATTTAAATTTTACATTCTTTGAAACTCAAGCGGACAATTTATCATGGCAGAAGTCTACACATCACCATTACCACAACAGCACGCTACAGTTGGTATGGTCACACAGTATTTGGAGAGTTCAGTGTTTAGTAAATAACCCTGTTAGTGTACATTCAAATAAAAGGTAAAACATCAACAAGTAAAGTATTGAAGTACAAACACCTACCTCTAGTTCACTGTTTGATAAACTAAGATGTGGCAGTTTTTTCTCTTTCAATGTTTTGATGATTGAAACAGCAAGGAGCGGAGTTCTGCTCTGTTGACCAGCATCAACTTCATCAGTATTTACAGCTGCTGAGTGAGAAACAAGAGTAAAGGAGCAGTGTTGGGGGACAGATACATACTCTGAATTCCATTCTAAATATCTATTGCCCGTTACTTGCTCCATCATTAGCCCACAGTTCTTATTACCCCATGCCAGCGGGAGGCATCAATAAATGTAAGTGTGCAAACCTCTGTACTAAAATGAGATTACTAAGGAATATTTTACAGAGATTCCCGTTTCCTTAGAGGGTTATAGAAACAGTGTGTGACGGTAGATAAGAACCATTCGGCCCATCTAGTCTGCCCAATTTTTTGATGATCAGTATGATCTTACCAATTGAACTCATCCCGGAACCTTCGTCTCTTGTTATGGCTTGTAGATAAAGCTGGAGGAGCTGCTTAGACTGTCGTTCCTCCTCCCTGCGATCCAGCACTCTTTGAAGAGTGTCCTGAAGCACTCGCACTTTGTCATGACTTTCCGAGACTTCTCTCGACAGATCTTCAACGGGTACTTCAATCAGCGTCTAAAGAAAAAGGCAAGCTTGAAACTAAACTTGTCCTGCTTGATAACACTGAAGCAATTCATATATTTATTTAAAAAAAAAAAAAAAAAGTTTTTCTAGGGGAAAATAAATAAATAATTAGTTTGCATTTTACAGACTTTTACTCCCAACTCTTTTTTCCTCCCAACTAAACACTAAATTGTACAGTATGAAAAACTGCTTTGCATGGTGCGTGGCTAACCGCCGAGAGTAATGCACACTTGATCCCTAGCTCCGACGCACGGGGTCGATAATCTGCCTCCATCCTGAACATCTGGGCACCTCCAGCTCACCTTACTATAACATGGTACAACAAAAAGGCAAGAAGAATGCCTCCAAGTTGGAAATATTAATTTTGGGGGGAATAAAACCCAAATTGAGCCCGTGGAAGTTCGGGCCTTATCCCAAGATAGCGGCGCCAGCTCAGGTGGTCTTGATTTTGCCACTCCGGCGGACAACGAACCGGACCCTGACAAGCTTACGTCCCAGATAACTTTAGGACAGTAGTTCCCAAATTAGTCCTATGGCTAGGAATAGTGCAGGATCCAAGTATTTCTTTTTTCTATTCCAATGGCGATGGTGACAAAACCAGGGCTGTTGCTGGACAAAGATCTGGCTGAGGAAGCACTGCTCTGGGTGACATAAATAAAATATAAACAAGGCAATGCAGTGGTTTTATGGAACATAATAGAGCTCTGTCTGTGGAGGATTATGCTGTCTCTTGAGATCCTTCATAGACCACACAGTGTTGTTCGAGAGTACAACATGGACATCGACTCGTGGCAGCTGAAGCACGAGGAGCTGGAGAGGACTGGCAGGAAGACCATGGCAGGGACTGGGAGGGACAGATTTGGATAAATAGAACTCATCTTCGTCTGCACCCCGTGACCACCAAACATCCAGCGGAGGAGATACGGTCAGAGATCTTGGCAAATTATGCAAAGATCCCAAGACAGTGACAGAGAGATTTAATAAAATGCACACCTTCCAAAATTATTCCTCTGCTATTAAACCAGGAAACAAAAAAAGGAAAAGAATAATTCAAATTTTTCCCTGGATAAATCGGCTATTACTATTAGCAAGAATATTAAAATCAAGATTATAACCATATGTGTTCTGCTTTTAGTATCCTTTGGTGATATTTACCGAATTTGGGGGAGGAGGAGTCTTTGGGTGCTCTCCCTGTATTTTGTAAAATATTCTGAGCGATTCAATAAACCAAAAGTACAAACAAATTATACCAAATGATCTCTGCAGGTCTTGGGAGCGTTATCGCACCCACTGCAGCCATCATATTTGTATTTATTCGCTCTATGCTTAAAGGAACACTTTAGTCTCTCTGCCCCTGTCTTCCCCCATGAAAGGGTTAAAAACCCATTTCTTTCACTCAACTGATTCCAGCGCTGATGGCAGAAATCGAACGTGCACGCATTAAGCCTTTCCCATTTCCCAGTGCTTTCGTGATGCTGGATGTTCTCATGCAATGTGTGAGGACGTCTGATAAAACATCTGATAGACAGCCACGAGAGGCAATGTAAACATGGCAGATTCTCTAAAACTACAATATTATACATTGCAGGGTTAATGAGACAGCGTCACTTTACCCAGATCACTTCAATAATGAGATGTAGTGGTCTGGGTGCCTATAATGTCCCTTTAGGACATCGGCATAGAAGTAAAATTATCTAAAAGAAAAGAAAACATTTTACCCATATTTCTTTTTTTCAACTAAACACTAAATTGCATAGTATTAAAAACTGATTTGCAAAATTTAGGCACAAAATGTTGCTTCAGAAACTTTCTCCAACTGACCTATAGTACAGCTTGCCTATTTGTGCCTACATTTTGCAATTGGGCTTTCATTCACAACAATTCTGTGTTTAGTTAATAAATACCAATGTTTTTATTCACAATGCAATGCTCTGGCAAGTGTCACATTGTTCATTGTCATGACAGCTGTCCTACAACATGTTCATTGGTGGATATATGGACTGAGTTTGAGTCATCACAGAAATACCTGAAGTTCCGCCTCTGACATAATAATAATGTTGGACAAGTTTTCCTTTAATTGCGCAGCCAATGCTTTCCATTTTGGGGTCTCTAAACCATCCAATTCCATGACATCTTGTAGGTCAACAGACTCTCGGGCCATCCACGCAGTACCTCCATCTGCAAACATGGGCACATGGCAAAGGAAGACTGAGGACTAGAACGATCATATATATATATATATATAATAATTTAAAGAAAAACGCATTTCCTGATTTTAAAAATACAACAGTTTGGTGTATTTGCATTCAATAGACAACATTCTTGGAAAGGAAGATGAAAAATGTCTGGTTTTAAAAGTTGCATTTTTATAGAGCAGCGTAGGCCAGCAGAAAAAGGTTATGTCCAAACATGCACAGAGCGTGTTGAGTGGGTCACGCATGAAGGATGTAAGAGAAGGTTAGGAGAAGCTGAAAATCCTGAAATTGCTATTTAAAGGGAGCCCTAAATGTTTTGTGCAATGGAAACATTTTTTTTTTTTAAACAGAGATTTCAATTAGCAAGAAACAGTGAATGGACGCGAGCTGTCCATAACTTGATAGCAACCTCAGTGCAACAGATATTAAAGGAGCACTCGTTTACCTGGCACTATAGGGTCATTAGGTCCCCCCCACCCTCAGGGCCCACCTCCCGCTGGGCTGAAGGGGTTAAAACCCCTTCAGCCACTTACCTTTCTCCAGTGCTAGGGAACTCTCCCCCTGCCGACGTCAGATCTGCATGCGCGGCAAGAGAGCGCGCGCATTCAAACCGCCCACAGGAAAGACAGCCACTAGAGGCTGGATTAACCCTCAGTGAAACATAGCAGTTTCACTGAAACTGCTATGTTTTCAACTGCAGGGTTAAAACTAGAGGGACCTGGCACCCAGACCACTTCATTGAGCTGAAGTGGTCTGGGTGCCTACAGTTGTCCTTTAAGCTCAGGCTGCAGTTCAATTCAATCAATGTGATTATTGAAATTGCTGCAATTTGCTAAACTACACATTCCAGACCCCAGAACAGGTTGGGTTTATGGCAATGCTCAGATGTCATTGAAAATAATGGGGGCATTTGACCTGCATAAAGGAACACTATAGGTTCAATAACACAAACATGCATTTCTGATGCTATAGTGTTTTTTTTTTTTTAAACATTCTTTATTTGTTGTTTTCCAGTGTGGAAAAAGGAAACATTAGGGTACAGAATTGAAGGAGGGAGGGGGTGATACAGCCACAATGGTACAGGTGCACAATAATTTCACACATGTGTCTTTGCGCCTCAGGGTGTTATGAACAAGTAACTGTGTCTTGGTGCGGTTTCTGATGTTATAGTGTTAAAACCCCAATTTACATGTATTGCCCCCCCTTAGACGGGGTTAAAACTTCTTTTATTTGCAGCGCGGGTCCACCAGCGCTGGCTCCACCCCCCAATCCGCCTCCTTGGTGACATCAGAATTTACGATTTTTAGCTAATACAATGCTTTCCCATGAGGGGGTGAGGACGGGCCAAACACGGTTTGGCCAATCTGCACCTCCTCTTAGAGATGCATTGAATCAATGCATCTCTATGAGGAAAATTCTGCGTCTCCATGCAGAGCATGGAGACGCTGAATGGCAGTGCACTCCTCAGATGGTCGCTGGAGATGTCCCTAGGGGGCAATGAAAAGACAGTGTTTACATGAAAAAGCCTGAAGGGAAGGATTCTACTCACCAGAACAAATACATTAAGTTGTTATTGTTCTGGTGACTATAGTTTCCGTGTAAGCCATTTACTTGGGGATTTGCAGTGAATGTAGATCCGTCAAAGCAAAGTTTCATTCCAGTTTTCTTTTTGTATATTGTTTTTATAATGCATTGTCTATTGAATGGAACAAAATAAGTCCAATAAAAGACTGCCTTTTAGAAGTAACTTCAGGTGTGCCTGGATATTTATCTTTTCTTCCTTTCGATGTCTCCAAGAATTGGCCGGCCCTGCCTGGAGCACCCTGCAGGAAGTGTTCCTCCTGCTTTTTTTAGTATGTGCATTATAATCTTGTTTTCTAGTATTACAGAAATTGAGGCGATCTGCAGCCTGGAGTGTCCCTTTAAGGCTCGCATAGTATTTAAAGCTTCTAGAACACCTTGGGAATTATCTTTCTGCTACTTCCTGCTTTGAGCAATGTCAAAGACTGTGATGTTTACGAACTGAAATCAATGCTGCTTGAAAACTATCAAGTTAGAACCAGCAGCATACCTACTGCAGTTGGAGCAGACCATTTCTTGTTCCCAGTCAGGACCATAAACTTAGTTTTGGGGGGCAAGCACATAAAATAATCTTCATCCTCCACAATTGTGCCATCTTCTGCCAGTACGAGGGTGACACGCTCCTTCTGGAAGTCCAGGTTCATGAACTTGCAAGCTACAAGTAATTAGAGAACAAGAATAATTATTTTTTAAAAGCAAATCATAAAACACAAAAACAAGATGCACACCGCATGTTTTTTTAAGGTTGCTCAGTATCCGCGCTGTAGCATTCATATATTCTGTAAAATGTCAGAATTCACATCTAGTCACAAACATTATCAATATGACAGCTTGGTCTTTAACTCTACTGGTACTCCCTTGTACAACGATTCTTGTAAATAATAATATAAGAGGGTTATTCACTATAGAGTTATTTCTAAAGAAAGTTTAAACGAGATCATTTACTAAACTGCTATAAAGCTGTAACTATTTTATTATTTATATAGCGCCGTATCTATAGAGATATGGGGGAATTTGTCCAATTCTGCTGTGAATGGGGTTTATATGCGATAAATGATCATTTACTGATTAAAACCCTCTGCCTTATGTTGTCATTGAGATTTTAGTTCAGTATTTAGGATATAAAATAATATAATTTATAATTTGGTCTGTGAGATTTCAGTTCAGTATTTAGGATATGAAATAATATAATTAATAATTTGGTCTGGGAGATTTCAGTTCAGTATTTATGATATAAAGTAATATAATTAATAATTTGGTCTGGGAGATTTCAGTTCAGTATTTATGATATAAAATAATATAATTAATAATTTGGTCTGGGAGATTTCAGTTCAGTATTTATGATATAAAGTAATATAATTAATAATTTGGTCTGGGAGATTTCAGTTCAGTATTTAGGATATGAAATAATATAATTAATAATTTGGTCTGTGAGATTTCAGTTCAGTATTTAGGATATGAAATAATATAATTAATAATTTGGTCTGGGAGATTTCAGTTCAGTATTTATGATATAAAGTAATATAATTAATAATTTGGTCTGGGAGATTTCAGTTCAGTATTTATGATATAAAATAATATAATTAATAATTTGGTCTGTGAGATTTCAGTTCAGTATTTATGATATAAAATAATATAATTAATAATTTACATGCATAACCCAGTTTATAGAATGGGGAGGGCTGTATCAGGGGTGGCCCCTTATAATCCCATGACATGGCTCCCAGGGGCCACAGCTCAGGCTCCTGCCCTCACCTTTCTCCAGGAGTTCCTGTAAGGAGGCAGCTGCCAGCCCATGCCACTCCTTGCTGCCCCTCACAGAGACCAGGCATTGCTTCTTGTAATCCGCCATCACTCTGGAGCCCTCACTGACAGCACACAGGGCAAGGCGAGTGCTAAGCACGTGTCCAAACTCGCCCACCACTCACTTCCGCATTCCGCAGCGCAGGGCATGCCGGGAAATGTAGTTCAGGACCTTTAACCCATCTGTTCCTGTTTGTTTTTTTTTTAAATAGAGCTAATAAAATGTTACCCCAGGATCAGTTCAGGGGGTATTTGCGTTAGATGACACCTTTATGTCACTTTATTTTGCACTAGTCTAATTTTGCAGATTAATCTAGGAATTAGGACTTTCACAGGTTTTCTGGGTCATATATAGTTAAAGGACCACGCTAGGCACCCACACCACTTCAGCTTAATGAAGTGGTCTGGGTGCCTGGTCCAGCTAGGGTTAACCCATTTTTTCATAAACATAGCAGTTTCAGAGAGAAAACATAGATTCAGAGAAACTGCTATGTTTATGAATGGGTTAAGCCTTCCCCCATTCCCTCTAGCGCCTGTCTCATTGACAGCCACTAGAGGCGCTTGCGTGATGCTCACTGTGATTTTCACAGTGAGAGCACGCAAGCGTCCATAGGAAAGCATTGTAAATGCTTTCCTATGCGACCGGCTGAATGCGCGCGCAGCTCTTGCCGCATGTGCGCATTCAGCCGACGGGGAGGATCGGAGGCGGAGAGGAGGAGGAGAGCTCCCCGCCCAGCGCTGGAAAAAGGTAAGTTTAACCCCTTTCCCCTTTCCAGAGCCGGGCGGGAGGGGGACCCTGAGGGTGGGGGCACCCTCAGGGCACTATAGTGCCAGGAAAACGAGTATGTTTTCCTGGCACTATAGTGGTCCTTTAAACAAAAAATAAATAAAAAAAAGCCTTATTAGCAGGGACCTGGAGGGCAATATTATTATTATTATTATTATTATTTAAAAATAATATCCTATAACAGCCATGATTATAATAATAAAAGACAAAATAAATTCAATTTCTATATAGTAATAATACACATGGATTTCAAAACATTCTACTGTAGTGAAAATCGTCTAAAGCAGATACACCAAGCCAAGGCCTAATTTTATCCTGGGAATTAATATGTGGCAAAAGTACAAGATTTGGGGCAGTTACATTAGTTTATTTACTATTTCCTGCAGATTCCACACAGAATTCACCCAGTTTTACTGTCAGATTTCACCATAGGTCTGATCTGTGGTTACTCCATGTTTAAAGGGACACTATAGTCACCAGAACTACAGCTTATTGTATGATATACAGCTTATTGAATGATATACAGCTTATTGTATAGGACACAGCTTATTGTATGATATACAGCTTATTGAATGATATACAGCTTATTGTATAGGACACAGATCATTGTATAGGATACAGCTTAATGAATTTGTTTTGGTGAGTAGAATCATTATCTTCAGGCTTTTTGCTGTACACACTGTTCGTTTCAGAGAAAATGCAGTGTTTACATTACAGCCTAGTGATAACTTCACTGGCCACTCCTCAGATGGCTGCTAGTGGTGATTCCTGAGGCAGTGCTGCACAGTGTGACTGACAGCCAGTGTCTCCTCCCTCTGCATGCAGACACTGAACTTTCCCTTATAGAGATTAATTGATTCAATGTATCTCTATGAGGAGATGCTGATTGGCCAGGGCTGTGTTTGAACTGTGCTGGCTCTGCCCCTGATCTGCCTCTTTGTCAGTCTCAGCCAATCTTATGGGGAAGCAATGTGATTGGATCAGACCACCACATGTCAGCAGGCAGTGGACAGGTCTACAGGAAACAGTGACAAAGTAAGCAGCTGCAGACTTGTATTCAGGTAAGATTTTATTATATTTATGGAGGCATAAGAGGCCCAGGGGGGCTAGATGGTGGTTTTAACCCTATAGGGTCAGGAATACATGTTTGTGTTCCTGACCCTATAGTGATCCTTTAAATGTTTATTGTGACAGTGATAAAATGCTATAAATCATTAAATAATACAATAAACCAAATAAACCCCATCAGGAATCAGTAAACAGGACAGCAGACACCCCTGGGTGGGACATTTCATTGATTTTCATAATATAATAATGGGAATATGCCTGTCTTGCAGAATATAGAAATTTTTCTAGTAAAGTGCTGGTTATGGGGTGTTTTACTGATAAAGTGAAGGTTTTATTATTATTATTATTATTTTGCATTATTATTATTATTATTATTATCGCCATTTATATAGCACCAACAAATTCTGTAGCGCTTTACAATATTATGAGAGGGGGGATTTAACTATAAATAGGACAATTACAAGAAAACTTACAGAACGACAGGTTGAAGATGACCATGCTCAAACAAGCTTACAGTTTATAGGAGGTGGGGTATAAAACACATTACGACAGGAAATAGCAATCAAACAAGGTGGGAGTGAAGCAGAGCTGGAGGAGAGAGTAGAGTGCTGCCCTTTAGGAGAGAGCAAGAGACAGGTATGTAAGGTAGAGGTTACTCTGGGAGGCCATAAGCTTTCCTAAAGAGATGGGTTTTAAGGCACTTCTTAAATGATTGAAGACTAGGGGAGAGTCTGATGGTGGTGGGATATAGGAAGGGAGCCGCCCGCGAGAAGTCCTGCAAGTGTGAGTTGGCCGTACGGGTGCGAGCAGGGACAGGAGAAGGTCACGGCAGAGCAGAGAGACCGAGAAAGGTTATACCTATGGCTAGGTGTGGATTACTACCTTGAATTGGCTCCTATAGGATACAGGAAGCCAATGTGAGGACTGACAGAGGTGAAAGGTGTGAGAGGACCGACTACAGAGGAAAATCAGTAACGGATTCATTGGCACATAGAAATGTTTATGATGGTATTTACCATCCTGACAGGAATAGATGTGCCCATCTCCAACCATGCGCCCGGATACCTGATAAACCCAGCATGTCTAGGGGCCCCTGTCGCTGTGGATCTATGTCACTTTATAGCCCCATGACCGCTCACGTTAATGATGATGTTGGCGTGTGTGTGTGTAACGTCACGCGCGCACACCTTTTGGGGCCAAAGGTCAGTCACAACCAATCAGAATAACAGGAGGGTTATTTAAACAAATTTTTACATTCTCTCATTGCCCTGTCGTGGTTTCTGCCTAATGGTAATCCAAGAGTGCATTCCTGATCTTGATATTTTGGTAACTGACTTTGGCTTTTTTCTGACTTTCCTGATTTCTGGTATCCTTGACTTTTGGCTTTCCCTCATCGTTGTGTCCCATTTTGTGTCCCTGACCTCGGCAAGTATCCTGACTATTTTTTGGTACGTTAAGTCTGGCCATTCTAAGGCCCGGTAACATTTTACCTTTTAGTCCTAGGTGTGATACAATTCTGTATGCTGGATCAGTCAGACAAAGGGAGAGCGAAAGAAGAGGTTCGGTATTAAGAGGAGGAAAGACAGTTTTAGAGAGATTGAGTTTCAGAAAGCGGGAGGACATCCAATCCGAGATGGAAGAAAGGCAAGCAGTGACCCGTTGCACGACAGCAGGGTAGAGGTCCGGGGAGGAGAGATATAGTTAGGTTTTATAATGAATAAAGCACAGGGTGGAACATTTAATGGATAATAATAATATAATGGGAATATGGACATTTTACTGATAAAGTGAAGGTTTTTACATTAATATAATATTATTATATTTATTATTATTATTTTATATTATATTTTTATTATTTATTAATATTTATTATTATTTATTATATTTATTATTATATTTATTATTATTTATTATATTTATTATTATTATTTTATATTATATTTTTATTATTTATTAATATTTATTATTATTAATTATATTTATTATTTATTATATTTATTATTATATTTATTATTATTTATTATATTTATTATTATTTATTATTTATTATTATTATTATTATATTTATTATTATTATAATTATGGTGAATAAAGCTCAGGGAGGGGGAGGACACTCAGAGCTCAGGCTGGCTGTTCGATCGCTCGGTGCGCGGCTGTTCCGGTCTGTGCGAGCTGTCTTGGCTCAGGCTGTGCGCTCGGGGTTTGACTGGTGAGGTCTGGGAAGATGGCCTCCTCGGATCAGGCTGAGCTGCCCGGCGGCCAGGTAACGCGCGGCTCCGGCTCTGGGGGGGCTGGAGGGTCGGTCCCAACCCTTGAATAACTTAAGGACCACTATAGTGCCAGGAAAACAAACTAGTTTTCCTGGCACTATATGATCTTTAGGTCACCCCCCACCCTCAGGGTCCCACTCCCGCCGGGCTCTAGGGTGATGAAGGGGTTAATCCCTTACCTTTCTCCAGTGCCGGGCTCCCTCGGCGCGTGGGACTCTCCTCCCTCTTTGACCAAATGCACATGCCCGGCAAGAGCAGTGCGCGCATTCAGTCAGTCCATAGGAAAGCATTCTCAATGCTTTCCTATGGACGCTGGTGTCTTCTCACTGTGAAAATCACAGTGAGAAGCGCGGAAGCACCTCTAGCGGCTGTCAATGAGACAGCCATTAGAGGCTGGATTAACTCATATGTAAACATAGCAGTTTCTCTGAAACTGCTAGGTTTACAGCAGGCAGGGTTAACACTAGATGAGCTGAAGTGGTCTGGGTGCCTATAGTGGTCCTTTAATTACACTGCTGTTTTTGTTTGTTCTATTCCAATTTAATGCACTCTGTTATATGTTGCTGACTGAATATATTTTCTATATATATATGCATGCGAGTATTTTGTATATTTCGACCCCAGCAACACCCTATAATGTATGCATGTTCAGGTGAGTGTAGCCCCCTTGGTTTCATTTATATATTTGGGAGTCCAAGCCAACTCCTTGGTTTTGCACCTCTCCCTGTCACAGGTGCCTGATTCCAGGACCCTATTTAGCCTTGACTTGCGAAGAGTCCCAGTAAGGAA